GTATTTTTATATTATGTACAGATTATCGAAAAACGTAATCGAACTTCTCAGCGATAAAAATATGTCACAGGTAGATATGAGTTATTTAAAATTAATCGAGTCTAATAGAAGTTCTTCAGCTATCATATTTATCTAATCACGTTATAACTAATACATATGTGAAATTTTCAAGTCAGTCGAATTTGTTTCATATTATTTAATTTATTTTTAGTATTTGCTATAGCCGTTTCAAAAACAGTAATTGAGAAAATAATATCGTACACACTTAATATGGATATAAAATTATAAATTTTTTCATAATTCGTTTAATAAAAAGTCTCGATTAACCGTGTTTTTCATTTTTCCTTGTGACTCTTCCCCACCATTGCCTCAGATAATCGAGGTTCTACTGTAGTAATAATAATATTTTTTTTTAATTATTCCAATATGTCTCATAACAATAAAGTTTATAAATTACAAATTTGTTGATTATAGAGGTACCGAACGATTTTTACGTTGGTCGTCATTAGTTATCACGTTTCGGAAACACCGACAAACACAAAACTTCGTTACGAATATTTAACATCATGATAATAATATATACATATGATATCAGTATATCACCAAATAATAAATATAAATGATAACATAGTACCAGCATAAGTTTGGTATAAAAAAAAATAGTTTTAGATTTCCTTATTTACCCTTGAAGTAATTATGTCAAAAACTAAAGTTAGCTACGGTGAACAGGGGGGGGGAATCAACCCATTCATCCCCCTTTGGATCCGCCCCTGAGTGTGTGTATATTTTGTTGTGATTTCTGTGACGATATATCAACATTAAGTATGACATTTCAACCTTCATTAAAACATTTTTTTAATAAAAAAGTATCTGTGACCGAATGAAATGTAGATAAGTACCTACTGTGTCTTGTTAGTAATTTTTAGATAGCCGGGGTAATTTAACTAACCACAGTAGCCCCTCCCGAAAATATTTTCTGTATACACTAACGAACTCAAATATTGATTATCATAAATTATCAACTTTAAGAACGGAAGAGTTAATATAATATAAAATACAACATTTGATGTAGCTACACAAGAATATTCTTCTAAAAAAGCTTAAGTTATCAAAAATCGCTGAAAATGCTCAATGTGTCAATTCATCGAAGAATTTCAATAAACATTGAAGAAGTGATAAACAATTTTTCAAATCTGCCTCAAAAATTAGATGTTGTTCTTTAAATAAATTTATATATTCTAATTTTCATAATATTTTTAAAATTAAGTTAATTTATAACCTTCGTTAAGTATATATTTTCCATAACCCCCCCTCCCATAGAAATTAATTTCTATATATGCCACTGAGCATCATCGGTTATCAAGGGAAGGGATAGGTAGATTTCCTTTTGGAGTTTTCATTACTTTATATCAATCCCCACAACTAGTGAAATTGAATATTTGCGGTAATAAATGCTATAATAGCATAATGAAACTACTGAAATCAAAACTACTGTCATATAACTCAAAGACATTACTGTATCACAGCTATCTACAATCGCAATAAAGTACCAATAGTCACTTACGCAAGCGAAACATGGTTGTTGATCAAAGAAGATAATAAACTAACAAACGTCTAATTACCTTTTGAAATGAAGGTCCTGAGAAACATACGGTTTGTAATACAACACAAACTTTCAAACATATAAGAGAAAAAAATCAAAAACTATAGATATAACAGGTTAAATATCTATAAATATGTATTTAAAAATTAATTCCACCTATGGGGTCTTTGGTTTTTCTAATGGACGGTTTTTGTTTATATTATTAACCAAAACTTTTTTCATTGCTTGTCTATCAGCTTATCCACATGTGTTAGCATTGATCAAATAAAATAAAATAAATGTAGTGCATTTTTGTTTGTCATTTTCGATTTTTAATACATTTTTCTATGTAATTTATTAAATTTTTTAGGTCATAATTGCATTTTTTCTAAGGCATATTAAGATATTTTATTGGACATTAAAATCCACACACTAGTTATTATTAGGGAAAAGGATTATTTAAATTCTACTTTAAATATGTAAGCACTTATGCACTTAAAAACCCTATAATAAGCACTAAAAATATGATCCAATATTTTTTTAAAGAGATTTATTTATAAAATATATAAATAATTTAAATATTGTGCTACATTAAATTGTTTTTTGACAACAAATTCTGATAAATAACTATTTGACCGACTGTTAAAAAATTGCCTATTTTTAGACATTTAAATATTAAAACAGTACAAAAAGACGTAAAGTTTACACAAATTACGGATAGAAGCACATACACACAGATCACAGAACTAAGACTAAATGACCACAATATTATATTATTTACAAATACTGACAAGTTACTGCAATGAAATGTGTTGATACCGTTTATGGAATAGTTAACATCCCATCGGAAAATGTATGATATAAGCTATGTGTATAATGTTTGTTAATAAAATTAATCTAATCACAGATTCTGGAGACCTATAAATAGGAAAACCGTGAGTCTGCAAACAGTCAACAACCATATTATATGATCAAAATTCAAAATAATTTTTAATTCAAAAATATTTTGGTTGTATCTTAGATGAATGACTAACGAATAAATGTCAGCAGAAAAGTATAAATGAAATGATAAATTATTTGAAATATATATCTAATACTATAAATTGAGAGAAATATATACTTAAAACAAAAAAACCAAAAATATGCGTTTATATGCAAAATAAAATTTGAAGAATAGCTTTATGAAAGCATGAAACATTTGTTTTGTATTCTCTTATTTTTATGATTGTTCAAAACAAATATGCAAATGCCACAAGTCCTCTACCCTAGTTATTACCAAATACTTTGATATAGAGTAACTTATTAATAAAATAATTAATTATTGAACTTTCAATTTAATAGAAAAATCACAATTTTATTACTAATTTTAATTTGCAGTATAAAATAAAATCCTTTACATAATTTAAAAAAAAATAAATTATACAAAAAATATTATTTGAATTACATTTAAATAATTTTAATAATCAAACTAATCTTTATGTAATATTAATAATTATATATATATATATATATGATAGAATAAACTGCTTATAAAATACTTCAAAATAATTATAGATTGATAAAATTATACTTACACTCTTATTAACAATAAACTTTGAAATTTCTCCTTCACGCATTGATTTTAAAATAATTTCCCAGACTTCTAATTTGAACTTTTTCCCTAAAACCATTTCCATGTGCTTGGGCCATTTATAACTATTGTCGATCACACAGTTACTGCCAACAATTCGCGTTATAAAATGAAACGATACCTATAGATTAAAGAAGTGTATAATAATTATGTGGTGTAATACAGTAAAATAGAAACATAAAAAAGATTTCTTTTTACTTTGACTTACTTTTGTGCCACTGGAGAAAGTAGGCTGACCACCAATACCTGGTGTCACTAAAGTCTTCTGTATTTTATCGCCGTTAATACTTTCCATACTACTTTTACCACGTACAAAAATTAGTCAGTCATGAGGTTAAAAAAAGAAACCTTGACCTTAGATTACAATAACCTTTCACAAGACGATCCAGGAATTAAATTTTTGGACCAAAACCAATCCATTATCATATTATACTGTACGATAAACACGTCACAATCGTTGGGTTAGTGGTAAAAGTGATAATATGAAACACAACCACGGGTAATTATTTTGGTACTAGCTTCATACATTAGAGTGAAAAAACGAAAAATTATAACTAACAGGAAATATCACCACAGAATATATGAAACAAATAAATAAATTTCATATATTCTGTGATTTCACTTCGCCAAAGATTGTCAATTCTTAAATTAATTTAATTATTTTTATGGCTTATGCATTTAAAAATGTTTACTATTCGTTTATTATTCACACTTGTATATTTAAAGGTAAAGATATAATTCACTGATTTTATTGAAAAATTTACATAAAAGTACAGAACAAATATTTTGCATGTACCTAAGTAGCATTGTTAAAATTATGAACTTTAAATTGATAGTGCAATAATCATCAATTGACCAAAAAAAAAAGTTATCTCAACAATTTCAATAATATTTTTAACAAATAATATGTTATATTATTTTGAATAATATTAATAAGTTAATATATTAATTATAAATCTTCTAACTAATTTAGAAGATTTATAATTTATATAGCTTTTCTGGAAATCAATTTGATTAAATATGTATGTATAATTAGATATCTTCAATAAAATATTAATAATAAAGTTTTTACATTCTCTTGAATAATTATATTTAATTATTAAATAAATACAATAAATGATGCTCTCATTTTTCACATTTTCAATTCACTTCCACTTTTTTTTAAGTAAGTTTTGTTTTTAAATTATCAGATTACCAATGTTTTTAAACAAATTAATTAAAAAAAAAAAAAAAATAAATAATTCATAAGTGTTATAGGCAAAAGGATATTATTTACAAGGATATATTTTTAAAATATATGACATCTGCAAAATTATAACAAAATTTATTCAAGCATAACTGTTTTAATCATGGTAACAAAATTGAATATAATTCATGCACATTTTTATTTCTAAAATAAATTAAATGATAATAATCAATTTTTGATAGTTTCACATAATATATTTCATAATTATAGTTTCAAGCATACTTTTTGAATAGTGCAAATGGCTTTTTAAGAATATTCAATTAATATTTAAATCATTATTAGTGCTTCATAAATTGATGATATCATAATTTGATTTACTAGAGGAATAATAGTAATTATTTTTGTACACCTCAGTTGTGTTCATATATATTTATATACAAAACAACTTTGTACAAATTTATTTCACAATTACATAAATTTAAATAAATTTGACTGCTAACGCAATATAAACTTGTACTATACAAACAGTCCATAAAAAGATAACAATATAACTATAATACACAATTAACAAATAAAATAATAATAATAATAATAATAATCATAATAATAATGGAAAATATATAATTGCATTACATAAAGCGCTTTAAGCAAGATTACCTGTATAACTGAGCTCTGTAAATTGTTTAATTCAAATAATTATTATACCACATAAATTAATAAAGTCATTGGTACAGCCACATTATAATACTGTTCAACTATTTTTAAAAGATAGATTCTGCTGATCGAGATAAATGAATTGGATGTGATGGACTCCGAGCTAAACGTTTTCGTGGCAATCGTTCAAGAGTTTTAAGCATTTGAGCAAAATCTGGTCTTTTTTCAGGGTTAAATGACCAACATGTCATTAGTATGTCCTAAAAAATAAATTTCATATAATAATAAAGATAATGAAAAACTGTGAAAAATAAATATTTAATAATTAATATTTAAATATTTTTTTACTTTGACATCACCAGATGCTTCTAAATTAGCTAGCCTTTGCTTCATACCACGCCCAATATTCCAAATAATAACTTCTGGGCTAGCTGATTTGAATGGCCACTCACCACATAGTAGTTCATACCAAACCGTTCTATTAAATAAACAATATTAAATATAATAAGTATGTATTTGTATAATATTTTTAAGTATTTGTTTAACTTAAACAATAAAATAAGAATAATAACATAAAAAAACTTTATAGAAAGAAAGTTTAATGAATTCTTGGTAAGACCCCATCGCTTTGATTTTGTACACTTTTCAGGAACTTATAGAAAAAAGTAGTTAAGAATATATTGAATTTTGTTAGTTTTTAATTGAGAAAGATTATTATTATTATTTTTTTTTGTTTCTTTTTTAATTAATTAATTTTTTTATTTAGATGATTTTACACTTTTGTCATAATGAAAAGAAAAATATTTTATACATTTTTTTAAGAAGTGTACTTATTAAATGATTTGGCTATTGATGATTATTATTTAGTTATTTATTAAGTATACTACATTGATCAGTAACTCAATATATGAACAGCTTGTGTTATCACTACTTTTTTTAAAATAAATTTATTTAAGTATAAAAGTTATACATTGAAATCAACATACAGTAATTATGACAATGTTTACAAAATGCCAAATTTACTGCAACAATCTTACTACTGTAAAAATCTTTAGAGAATGGAAAAACCAAGAATATATTTTAATAAATTTAAATTATTAAGCAACGAAGAATTATTTTTTTTACTATGGAACGAAAAAGGGAATAATTCCTATCACGCCAGAAACAGAAAAGGATTTAGTTTCCTTTTTAAAGAAACTTTTTAAGTACTGGTTTTAATACATATATATATATATATACATTATTTTATAAGTCAATTATTTATATAATAATCAAGTTCATAAATAAATTTCAGAACTTATATAAATCTAAAAATATTTTTAAGCATCACTCATTAATATTAATAAAATATAACCATAATATACATAATTAATCACTTATTTTATTGATATATAATATATAATTATTATATATAATATATATATATATATATATAATTATATATAATATAAACTCTTCCTGCATAAAACTTAATATCATTTTTTAGTTTTTTCTTCATAATGAGAATAACCAATTAGAAAATTAAATAAAATTATTTTTCTAAAATATTATTAATATTGGGTGTTTCTAAGTTGTGTACAAAATTATTGTTCAAGCTTTAAGGAAGCTTTAACAAAATTAATATCTAAGAGAATTATACACTTTTTAAATTTATAAATATAAATAAAAATTTACTCATATGAAATTAAAATTTTTTTTAATATTTATAACATATTAATACAAATTAAATTATGGATATTGAATATAGTCATTATTAAATTAAAATATTTTACCCAAAAGCATAGACATCTGATGCTTTACTAAATGGTAAGTCTTCTTCTTCAGGTCTCTGATGTACACGCAAATTACGAACTAATTCTGGAGCCAGATAACATAACCAACCTGGAGGTACAATGAGACCATCTTGAGTCCTATTTGATAAAGATTTTGATTAGACAATTTTGTTTCTTCTTATTATAAATAATTTATATTTACCGGTTACGAAAACATAACCTTGTAACACTGAATAAACCAAAATCAGTAATTATGACTTTTCCATTTTCTAAGAATATATTTTTACTTCTAAGGTCTTTATGAATAATACCTTTAGCATGTAAATATCCCATACCCTTGAAAAATAAAAATATTCATTAAAGTTGAACTAAATAATTAACCATATAATTAAAAGGTATTTTACCTGTGATATTTGTTGAGCTACCATTGTGGTACGACTCATATTAAATTTATCTTTGAGCACATGTATATGTCTGTACAATGTCATACCATTCGCAAGACTTGTTACAATTGCTAATCTAGGAAGCTTCATACAGGCACCCATAAACAAAATTAAATTTTCATGACGAGTTTTACGAAAGGTAGCTACCTAAAACATTTTAAAATATAAAAATGTTTATCTTAAAAGGTAAGCTTGAGTAAGTACTTACTTCAGCTTTAAATGCTTCTAATGTTTTTTCATAATCTAGATAGTCCATATTTATCACTTTAATAGCAACTGGCCCATGCCAATTCCCACTAAATACAGTACCAAAATGACCTTCTCCCAATTTGTCACACATGTTTAACTCATCCCAAGGTATATCCCACTCTTGAAGAGATAGCTACAATATTTTAAAATACATATAATATATTTAGATTTAGTAATTAGTTCTTATAAAACAAAATAATTTAGATTAAAAATGTATAGTATTGCATCTTAAAATAAAAGTTATTATAATCTATTAAGTACTAATATTATATTATAATAAAGTATTTTTAATCCATTACTTTACAGACTTAATTTGTAAGAAATTTTTAATAATACAAAATCTATAAAATAAATTTAACCCTATATATGTTTTTTGCTTCATCAAATTCCGCTTAATTTGATGAAAATACTTACACCAAAATATTATCTAATAAGTTCTATTTAGTTTATGCAAAATATGTTATTAAAATATCAAATTAAATAATAGTACAGTTGTTGAAAATAATGTATTTTAGATGTATTATATTTTTTTATTCTATTTCTTAACTTTATTTCTTAATTCTTATTTAAAAATATAAAAATGTAGTTATACTATTTATTTATTATAACAATTTGTTATACTAGTATCTAGTTAATTTAAAAAAATTACTTTGGTGAAAGAAAACTACTATTCTGGTTAATATAGTAATTAGGTAAATGATAATAAAAATAAAAATCTCATGTTTATGATAATTGGTATTCTGATGTTTATATCAAGTTATAGTTCAGATAATATTATAGCTTAGAAATAACTTACACTATTTTGTCTTGGCCAACCTCTTGTTTCTATTTCATCAGTATCCCAATTTTGGTTTTCAGAAGAATCAATTCTAATTGATGTTTGTTCTGAATCTGAACTACCACCTCTTGATTCAATGAATCTACACTGATTTTTCTAAAAATATACAATAATAATTTTGTTCTCTATTTTATAAAATCAAACTCAATAAAATATATAAATACTAAATAAAATTAATAAGTACCTGTAAATCTTGTGAATAAATTGGAGTATCAGGATAGTGAAATTGCTCATGAGTAATGGCTGGTGTAGGTAAAGAAGAAACATGTGTTTGTCTGGTGTTGACTAGAGCTGGACTTGAAGGTGTAGAGCTATTTGTACTAGATGGAGCAGAACTGGATTCAGCTCCACCACTTTTAGACTAAAATTTAAAGCAATATAATTAAACAATGGAAGAGATATCAATGAAAAAATTTAATTTAGTTTATTTAATATAAAAAAATATATACAGAAACTGGTATGGAATTGATAGATGGTATTCGAGTTTTTCGTCTTGATAATAATGAAGAAGAAGTCTTGTGAGAAGTAGGGCGATTAAAATTAGGAGAGTGATTAACTGATGAATTAATTACATCTATAGAAAATAAAAAAAATATCTAAAATTAATTGACATAAATTGTTAACAGAATTAATCTAACTCAAAGTAACTTGCCATCAAGCAATGGATCATTATCATCTGTTGCAGCACTTTTTGTACAATGTAATGGAATTTTTGACAAACAACCCTTATGATATCGAAATTTACATATTTTACATTTGACTCCTATGACATTAATTCATATAAAAATTACAATTATAGAAAAAAAAAATTATACTTAAAATGGAATATAACATACCCACAAATACTCGTACAGAACATAGCTCACAACAACCAAGCATAGGAAGTAAGTTTGAAAATTTGTGACCAGTTTTAAGACAGTTATCAGGAACTAAAGATTTTGGAGATTGTGGTACTGTTAATCCATTGGTGGCTGATTGAATATCTCTAATTGGACTCATTGAATTTGTAAAAATAGAAGTATCCGATGGCTCTTTAGGTAAACAATGTGTGACCACTCCATTTTGACTACAAGTGAATAATAAAGAAAAATGTTTTATCCTAATATTCTAAAATAATTCTAAAAACTTACTGAATTTCATCCACATGATTATCTGAATGACTTTGTGAAGTCACAACAGAGAAAACTACATCAGGATTTAAATTCCTTCGATTTTTTGGTGATGTTAATTTAGAAATAGGACTATCATTGGTTCCTAAAATAAAAAATTGTTATTATATAAACAAAATTAATATAATATTTATATATTTAATATTATATATCAACTGTTACTATGTTTTATTAATTTATATATTAATGTATATATAGTATATATATATATATATATATATATATATATATATATATATGGATATCATTTTATTATTTAATAAATTTAAAAAAGAAATAAGTTTGATTTAAAAATTCATAATATATTTTAATAATTAAATAAGAAGTTACCAAAGAAGTATTTTTTATAGACTATAAGTATTATTTAAAAAATGATTGGAAAACTGCTACACACCAAGAATATGTCTTTATAAAGAAAGTAACCAAAAATATTACTTAATTTAGTCTAGTTATAACTTATATGATTTTCTACATTATATATTTTTTATTTTCTTTCAAAATTAAAAAAGAATTATAAAAGCAATGAAGAAAAGTTTGTAGGATTACATAGTATCAACAATTTTTTAATATTACATTTACTGGCACAATTTTGATTAAATAAATATAAAAATTATCATAATGATCTGCATTAATAGGCTATTGGTATTTGAAGTTACAGATATTTAGAAATAACTCTAGATATCCACTAAATTAATCAAACTTATGAGCTATTTTTCACACTGGAAAAAAGTATGAGATTTAAAAAAAAATTGATTTACTAAATATTTTTAATTAAAACATTAAATATCTAAAAATTAAGTTTAAACAAAAAAAACTTAAATTATTAAATAATATTCCTAAACAATTTCTTAATAGCCTACATTATTTACTTACTATGATTATGATTAAATAAAGTAGGGGTTAAAGGTGGAGTGTAATGATTTAAATGGGCATTTCTTAGACGACACGATGATGAAGGAGAATGGCCCTGGACAGATGATGGAGAATGTCCTGCTTGTTCACAGCGAACTTCATATTGTCGATACCAAGAATCCCAATACAACGTCATTTTACATTTTTCTCGAGTTCTATTTCCAACTCTTATAGTTTCTAAAAAAAAAAAAATATTAGTTAAATACAGCATAATTTTATTAATATAGTATATATATTCAATAACAATATTAAATTTGAATATAAACTCTCATATAAAATATACAGAAAAGTAAAATTATGAACAAAAATAAACTTCATTATAAGATTCATTAAATGATAAAATGTATGTCATATTAATTAATTGTTGTACCATTAATAGTGACAAATAGTTTATAATAATTTTTTGTACAAGACTATGTTACCTAAATGTAATGTAAAAGGCAGGTACCACAATAACTAATGCTTACTTAGTTTCTTTATACGTTTTTATTCTACTCACGTACATAATGTAGATTGTTAACAATATTTTAAAAATTACTAGTCATGGACTAAGTGGATAAGGTCACATAGCTGCCATGTACTAAAGCTTTTATAATGAAGATTTAATTTCTAATTAAATAAGGCAATTTGTTTAGAGACTGCATCTTCCCTCTATCATGGAAGAAATCTTTAGAGAGATTCTAAGATCTAAACTATCTCGCTCACCAAATGTAGATATCAATTTACACTCAAACATATTAAGTCATACAGTTAAAAAAAAAGCCAGTGATGAAAACTAATAAGACACAGAAAACAATTAATAAATACATCAGTTAATAATATACAACTAATTTTAGATTTTAATTTCATACATTTCTTAAGATCAACACTAATATACTTTTTTTTTTTTTTAAATTTAATTTAGGAGTTTATCAAAACTACTTAATTTAACAAACCCAGGTCCTATATATAATATAATAACAAAGTTCTATTTTACATATTCTTAAATATAGAGTATAGCCAATTACTTGAGCTACTTTACTTCATATATAAATATTAAAAAAAAAATAATACCATAATATCTGTATAAACAATTAAGGCATCAATTATTTATTCTATTAACACCTATGATAATATATTCTATAAGTTCAGGTGATAATAGTGATTTAAATTTTGAATTACTATCAAATATATATAGTACTTTTTTTTTTAGTGTATATTTCTAAAAACTTGAAAAAGTTAAAGGTCATAGTTTAGTCTATCATATTTTATGTACTTGTTAGAGTAAAAACTTAATTTAATTTTTTTTCTTCGACTGCTTAAACACATTCTAAAACAAATATTCTGAAAATTAGAAGTTTATATATCTTATTCTCTATCCAAATTTATTAAAATGTATTATTATAAATAATTTAAATAAATATTAAGTAAATAATTAGCAAAACATTTAATTTGTAGTTAAAATATTGAAAATACTCTAGTAGGGGAATGAAATATAGGGAATATATTAAGTAATTTTTATAATCAGTTAAATAAATCTTAGTTGATGAGATTAATTAAGTGAAAATGTGATATACTTTTTTTTGAATGATGAATGTATGATAGACTTAGCATTAGCATAATACATAGATATTTTCTTAGATAAAATCATGTTATGTGTAAAATTGAATCGATTATTATAAATTATTTATTAATAGTATTAAACTCAATCATAACATATTTGGTAATAATTTTTAAATAAAAATAGAAGTGCATAATAAAATAGAGTTAAACATATAATTATACATCTATTTATTTAATATAATTTGGGTTGAATATTCATCTGATTGTTAGGACATAGAAATGTATACTCTAATAATTATCATAATATACATTCATATATGTGTTTTGAGTCATTAAAAAATGCACTTAATATTTGATTATACATAAAGCAATGAAAAAAAAAGTTTTTTGATTGATGGAACTATTTTTAAGTATTATTAAAATTAAATATAATAGCAATACTTTTTTTAAATTCATTTTTGTATTGAATAGTAATTTATAATACATAGATTTTATTTTAAAACAAAATATCAAAAACGTATATAAAATTTAAAACTCTAAAATGAAACTATTTATATGTTCATGTATTCTTTAGCTAATGATTAAAGCTTAAAGAAAATTTATTGATTGGTGTAATCAACAAGCAAATTGTAAACTAAATTTAATTAATATAACTATTCAATACAAAAATTAATTTAAAAGAAAGTATTGCTATTATATTTAATTTTAATAATACTTAAAAATAGTTCCATCAATTATTAAATTTTCAATCTATATTCTACTATATAAAGATATTAACAAATCTTAGATACTTAAAATTTTAACTAAGAAATTAATACTGTATATTAAAAAATACTTACCACTATATTTTTTTAAATTGTAAGATGCTCTAGTCAACCGTCTAAGTTCTTCATCTTTAAGAGAATATTCTGGTAGAATAGATTTCAACTCATTTTCAGATTTTAACAATAAGGTTTCTATAGAATTGATGTTCTCACATATTTTCTAAAAAAAAAAAAAATGATATCAAAATAGAATTTTGACTAATTAATCTTTAAGATTAGAGTAGCTTTACCTACCTGTACAGAAAGTACACTAAGTCCTACAACTTCCAGCCACTGTTTTAGAGAAGGTGTATTTTTTAATTTTGGAGAATCAAACCGCCCTGGATTTTTCTGTCTATTATTTAATTGTACTGAAAACAACTTCACAAGTTTACCCTAAAGCAACATTCAAATTAAATTTACTGACATAATATGACCAATATATTAAGTATAATTTACTTCTAAGGTTCTAATTTCGTGTTGAGTAAGTTCTGCGCGAGTCTCGCATAAATTCCTTAAGCTGATCAACATTTGTGATGAAATGTCGATGAGTGTTTGTACCACTTCAGGTTCATCACACATCAACTGCCTATCAAACTCCTCTTCCGCCATTCCATCATACGGTTATTGCACGATATACATCCTGGTTTCTGCGTGAATTTCTATCACTAGCGTCCAAACGTAATTTACCATGAACAAAAAATGTACAAAAGAGGAGAGCAGGATTGCTATCACGAAAACAGGTCAGAAAAGTCAGATAAAACTTTTTTTCTGTGGTATCTTCATCATAATTCAAGGACATTTTGCTATTTAGGTTACCGCGGTTATAACAATAAACCAAACTTCAACGGTATGTATAAACAATTAAATGTGTAATAGGTACACCCTACACCTAAGGTAGATTGATATTTGATTTTTATTAATAATCCAATTTAAATAATGAGTATCGACCATTGATTACGTATTTAAGTCTACGTTTATAATGCACTGTATACAACAATCCCTTCTCTTTAGTCTGCACTTAGATAGAGTAAAATGTATAGTTGATATTTTTCTGGAATAATTGATTTAATATTCATTTAAAACACAATCTCGACTAATAATTATTAATTGAATACTGAATTATCTATAAAAAATTATACATTTAATAAATTATTTTAATTTGAATTGTATTTAAAAGTCTGAACCAACTCTCTATAACCATTAAACTCCGGGAATATTAAGAACCCTTAACAATTTGTATTATTATTTTATACCCACGCTTTATTCAGGAACGTATTCAGAGTGAATAATAGGGCGATCGCCTTCCCATAACTTTTGGTTCAAATTTTTGTTATTTATTATTTGCCATATTAGGAAAATACGTAAATGTGAATACGTGTATGAAATTTACCCCCCCCCTACACACACACACACACACACACACACACACACACACACACACACACACACAATAATAATTAAAATTCTATACATTAAAATCAGTGATTAAAGTGGAAAATAATTGCATGGGAGACTAAAGCTAATGCAAAAAAAAAAAAAGGCCAAGGAGAGGAATCTGGAACAAAAAAAAAAAATAATAATAAGTAGGAAAATGAGATCGGAAATTGCCAATTATGATGTACAAAAACTCAAGGATATTAGGAAAGTTAGAGAGTTTCAAGAAAACATATGGGAAATGGCACGAGAAGTTAAGTCAAATCCTGAAACAGTAGATGAACAACGGAAAATAATTAAACATATCCTCGAAAAAGTGTCAGAGAAAGTTTTAGGAAAAGCTCAAAGAACTAATAAACCATGGTTAGGTTAAAGCATTCAGGTAGCTCCATGGTAGAGAGTATATACATGTTAATAAAAGAATTAAGGGAAAAAGAAACTTTACCAGTAGATTGGGGAATAGCATATATGTTACGCCGAATTTATGAAATTGCCGATTTTATGAAATCAGCAACGTTGTCGCCAAATACGTGTAATCGGCAATTTGGCTACTAAATTCACGAAATCAGCAAATTTTGATTGATAATTTCGTGAATCAGTCAGCCTTTTTCTGCCGATTGCACGAATTCAGTAACACATTATTATGATATAATTATAAATAGTGTCATATGGCAGTAATTGAAAATTTTCTCTTTTCTTTAAAAGTTGGTCACAATGTGCTGGTGTCAGTCCCGTCTGTGGATCGAGGGCGAGGTGATGCAGCCAACCTTCTTGCAGTTATCATAAAAGAAAAAGATGGCAAATTTCGTATTGGGACTAAAAAAAGGATTTTAAGCACATGGCTGGAACGGAACAGTTTAACAACAGTTAAACAGTTAACTACAAAGTTCTGTTCTCTGACGACTGCAGACGTTCAATAAAATTAATATTATTTACGGGAACTTGTTAGATTGGGGTCAGTTGGGACCGGACAAGGCTATTGATTAGCTATATATTGACGTTGTACTTGTCATATGAATTGCACATCTAAAAAGTGCACATGGGAAAAAAATAATATGATGTGTAATTCGGCGTGTCACTCATGCCATACTTGCCAAAATATTTAAGTATAATTTTTTTTTTTTATTTACTTTTTTTACATACTAAAACGTATTTATTATTTTATTATATTTCCAGCGTTTTATAAATTTATTTAAATTAAATTATGCTTTATAATTTTTTAAGAAAGGTCTTGTCGATTTCATGTATTCGACGACAATGTTGCTGATTTCATGAAATCGGCAATTTCATAAATTCGGCGTAACATATATATGTCCAATTCATAAAAAAGTCGACAAGCAAGTTTGTAGTAACTATAGAGAAATAACGCTACTAGATACAAAATATAAGGTATTATCATATTGTATCCTGGATGGAATCAAACCTCTGGCCGAAGAAATGGTGAGGGACTATCAATGTACAGAACTAGGTAACGCTTCAATAACCGAAAACATAACAGTGGGTCAATGAGAGTTAAAAAATGTGGAGGATTTTAAACACTTAGGCACTATTATAACCATAGACGTAATTAGGAGGGCTAGGAGGGCTTAGCCCTCTGGACCAATATTTAGCCCGCCCCCCATAAATATTTAATTTATACATGACATAACGCATACAGCATATTTAACTCACAATAGTGTCACATACAAAAAAAGATACATTGCAGTAAATTCAACTTGGCTCAGAATCTAAAATATATTAACATGGTATATAAAAATGAGGTAATCTACAGGTTATTTTAAGTTTTGGTAAGAGGACTGTTTACTCTAGTTGTGCCTATGATTGTAGCACAGAAGAATGAATGTCAAATAGAAATCCAACAAAGAATTAAAATGAGAAATATATGCTTCTTTGCACTAGGCAAGTTATTAAGCTCTAAAATCCTATCAAAAGAGGTTAAAATGCAGTTATATATGACAATCATTCGACCAATTATCGTATATGGTTTACAATGTTGAACTTTACGAAAGACGGAGGATGATAGGTTACATATTTTTGAGAGGAAGGTACTGTGCAAAATATATGATCAGGATATTCAAGGATGGGGGAAAAGACACAACCATGAAATAATGGAGATATTCAATAGACCAAGTATTGTAAATGAGATCAAATGAAGTAAGTTGGAATGGGCAGACCACGTATGTAGAAAGTAAAATTTTATGGTTCTATGAGTGATCCAAGAAAAACTGAGGAGCAAAAGACCTCTGGGTAGACCAAGGCTACGCTGGAAACATAGACGTGCTCATGGTGGTGGCCGGGTGGCCGTCCCCCCCTGTGGACTCTGGCTTTTTCTTTAATAAATGCATATCTATACTATACAATATAGCGAACATTTTTACATTTTACATGAATAAAGTGAGGCCAGTTTTAATCTTATAGTATAAAATTGATATCTATGAATAAATGTAATAAAGTTATCGGTTATTAATCAGACTAATCAGAACTTGCGTATAATATAAAAATTGTAGATGTAATTGATACTTTCAAAAACCTTACTCTCGTGGACAGAAGGATGGAGTTGTAAATAGTATAATAATATGTAAATAAGGATTTCTTAGATATAAATTATGTAAGTTTTAATAGTATGTATTTATTTTTATATTTGCATATTGAATTAAATAAATAATTTATAAAATTTAAAATATTTAATTATACTAGTGGTCTTTAGTAAAAGAATCTTTGGTTGACTTTTTTTAAAGGGCCTCCCTTCTGCGGACAAAGTTTGGCACGCCTATGGCGGAAAGATAGATACAAAAGAGATTTCCTAAATTCTGGAGTAGTGGATTATGGAGACATGAATTGGAAGGAGGCAGCTGAAAATAGAGAAAAATGGGGGAAGATTTTTTTTAAGGTAAGATGGTTTCAAAGGTCTTAAAAAAACTTGTAGAGTTAACCATTCGTATAGTGTGCAGACTCCCACGTAATATACAATGTGCACATGCCCATAATCTACAAATGTCCTTCATGGAGTTTACACAGACATCCAAAGATGTATTTAGTGGGGAGGGGCTAGGGTGGAAAGGCTATGGGTGATAAATTTTGGGGAGCATTTTAATATATTACGGTTATTTGAGTGACATAAAAGTAAATATACTAATAAAATTATTATAGTGGTTTTCATTTATCACGAAACATACATTGATAATACCAGGAGTCAGGACAGAAAAGTATATTGTATTTTACTAGTTTAAGAATAAAGATTCACAGAATAAATTTAATTAGAATGGAAACTGATAAGATATTACATGGGCTTTAGGGCCAAAAATATTTCGTAGACATATTTAAACGGTCGTACCAGTAATAATAATTTTAGTTCGTAATCAGTGCCGTCTTAAGGCATGGGCCCGTAGGGCCCGGGCCCGGGGCCC